TACCCCTAGAAATAATACTTCAATAATATGATGTGGTACTGTTTTATATACTTGCATAGAATATATTTTGGATAAATACAGCATATATTTAAGATATATATTATATAACCTAATTTTTTGTATATCATATTGGACGATTATGTGTCATATTAAAAAGTATATATATGTAAGGGTAATACTAGTAGATTACAGTAGTAATCGTCTCAACAGGATACAACAACTTAACTCCGATAAAATAACAACATCGAACTATTTGGATCTGACATAACTCTTAGACACTTGCTATCAACACAAACAAGAACAACAATTACAAAAGAAAAAGAAAATTCTTGTGAGAGGAGCACAAACTCAAATGAGAAATGCTTGGATATCCCAAATGAAGAAAACAACAACTATATATAATTGTATAAACATGTAACCTTTCACACAAAAATTTAGTAGCTATAACACAAATGTGTCAAATCGAGTATAGTTCGGTGCTAATTGGCATATATCCTCAACCAAGAGGTGGTGAGTTCGATCCCCACCCTCACATATTGTACTAAAAAAAACTTTAACACAAATAACTTAACAAAACGAAGAAACAACTCCTTATTTAAACTGTTTATCTGAATTAATAATTACGACTTTCGTCTCCTATATCAAATACATAAATATTTAACTGTTTATCAATATTTTCAAATTCCAATTTATTTCACACACAAATCCAACGAACTTAAAAATATCAGTGAAGGTTAGTCGAGACATTTTGATGATGTCCAAAAACACTTCCCACGACCTAGCATGAACAGAATGAGTAAAGAGTGTGAAGAACAAATTGAAATCCCTTTTTAACTCACACCTCTCCCTTTAAAAATCTAAATCTTATGTCAAATTATTGGACAAGAGAGAAGAACATCTTTCTAAAATCAAATCAATAGATGATAAAATGTGAACTTAGAGAAAAAAAAAAAAACCAAGAAGAAGAAGTAAACACAGATATGTATCCCATCCTTTTTTTTCCTTCCTAATTTCTTTAGATTATGACATCTAAAATTAATGTCATGTCAAATTAGGGATACCTTCGGCATCATCAATCTCGAGGAGTATATTTTACCCTCATCCTACGAGGAGTATATTTTACACTCATCCTACTCCCACCAATTTGGGAGTGTTCACGGATTTGGTTGAGTTGGATTGAGGTACTTTTTAGACCCAATATAATTGTTCTGGTTGTAAAGTTATTCGACCCAACCCAATCCCACCCTGGTTTGGATTATTCGAGTAACTTGTTCAAAGTATTGGATAAATGATAATATGTTAAACATTTATTTATATATTGTCTAATAATATTGAATTAAGATTGGTAAGTTAGATTTTTATTTATATGGTAAAAAGGTACACTGTAAATACTTTAAAAAATTGTTTTTAGGAGCTCCGAATAAATAATTAAAAAAAATATTAAATGAAATAATTTTAAAATTAATAATAAGTTTAGGTTTTAGGTGAACCTTTGAAACAACGTAACTAATAAAATTTTAATTTATTAATTTGAACCCCAACCCAACCCAAATAAGTTTATAATCCAATCGAAATCGTATGGGTAAAATTGGGGGGTTCTTGTATTTTTCAAAAGGTCTATTTTGGTTCCAGTATCTTTTTAAAAGTGACAATTTTGATTTTTTTCATTTTCAATTTTATCTCATTTATTTCAATCATAATTTAGCATTATACTTCACTCACTAAATTTCTTGAAATATAGCTATAAATTTATATTAAAGCGTTTTCATTTTGTATAAAAATTATGTTAAAATTTTGTAAATAGAGACCAAATTAGTCACGTTTAAACATGAACAAAAATGAAGAAACAAAGTTGAAAGTATATGGACCAAAATCAACATTTTGAAAAATATTGACTAAAACGAAGCAAGACTAAAAGTATAAATACCAAAATCATATAAAATACATTTGTTATTCCTTAAATTTCAAACACAGGTCAATTTGGTCATTCAAGTTTTAAAATATATATTTTTAGTCCTAAATTTTGAAAAATGATACAAATATATTAATTTAATAATATTATATTTTGGTGATTGACTTTCTCTCTCATGATTTGAGCCCACCATTGTCCAGATAAAAGTTAGGTAAACCGTCAATTCACGTCCAGCTAACGGCACCGTACGGAATAGCGCGTCAAACTCTCCAACTCTGCCAGCTTTCCCGGTAACAAGTATCCCTTATCTCCGGCGATCAACAATTTTAAATTTTATTTTGTTTTTAAAACTAACTTAAATTACTCTTCTCCCAAAAAAAAAAATGAAAACAACTTAAATTACAAAATTCACTCCACTTTATCAATTTACTTCTTAAACTTTAAATATGTTTAATTGCATTTTCTTTAACTTTGATTACAATAAATATTTTATTATTAGTGTCGTTAGTTAAATATTCATGTGGTAGCTTTCTATAATCCATTATGATTTGACATGAAAAAAGCAAGTAAATAAGATAAATAAGCTAAAAATTTGGATAAAATTGGAGAATCATATGGACCAATCTTATTTTATCCCTTAATTTCTTAACAAAATGTAGGATGAGAGATATATGCTAATTATCACTAATTATTCTACCCCTTAATTATTGCTTTCTAGTGCTAAATTATCATTCATTTACTCTAATTAACTTATTACATTAATTAAAATTTACTAGCTATGCTAATGTTATAGTTCTATTAAGATAAAAATCAAAATTAAAGTTTATAAGTGAAATTTTGTCATTCAAACTTTTAATTATTATAATGTACTTAAATTTTTGTTTATTGTCAATCCGAGCAGTTCAACTGGTTATTGTCAATAAATTTTTGTTTTTCGTTACTTAAATTTGTATAACGAAATGGTTATCAAATGTGTTTTGATCAAGAATACTACCTACTAAAAATAATAATTAAGATTAATAAAATAAAATTGAGTAATTAATAAGCGAACTATCCAATCATGAGCATATTGGCATATATATCTCCACTAAACGTTGTGAGTTCAATCTTCTACCCAACATGTTATACTAAAAAACTAATAATAAGTTAACCATTTTAAGGGTGTGTTTGGGATTCATTTTGGCATTATCAAAATTATTTTTGCCACTATCAAAATCACTTATGTTTTGACGATGATTTTGAAAAATCAATTGAACTAAATTATAAAAATTTAACCTGATTCTTATAATCTAGAGTTGAAAAGGTCAATGTTATAACCCAATACTATTTATTTGGTTCATTTTTCTCCACATGTATAATTTACCTGGTCAAAAACTTACTTGAATTGTATGTTGGATCCATATCTTATATGGTAAAAAAAATTATTTTGTAATTTCTCATATTTAAGAATATAAAAATGACCGTATCACATTTTTTAATATAATATGTGGAATGAGAATTCGAACTCACAAATTTTTAGTTGGAAAGATGAGTTATTTGTCAAATTGACACTATATTACAATATATGAGTTATATTAAATAACATTTTTACGATGCTAGTTATGCTGGAGCGTAAGATCAACTGGTTAAAACATATATCTACTCCAAAAAATTCGTGGGTTGGATGTTGTATTATTGATTTTTTTTCTTCCCTTTTTGCATGGTCTTTGAGGGCATAGAAGGTCTTTTGTGTTTGTCCATATTCTACTTTCAATTTTTTGCTGCACCAAAATCGAAGTTTAGTAAAGTTTATGAACATACCTACGTGAGATCTAGCCAACATGTGACAACCTCTTGATTGGAAATATATGTCAATTATCGCTGAACTATATTCGCTTTGGCAAATCAAAGTAAAAAATTAATGGTTAAAAAACTAAATATTTTTTGATTGCGTGCTTGACTTATAAAATGTGTAATAAATACTTTAAAAAATAATATAACATAAAAAACTAAATAGTTATTAAAAATTAATTTTATGTAATAAGAATATTTATACATGAATATATAAAAGGAACTATTAAAATTTAAATGTATGTATAAAATTAATGGTTAAAAATAATAAATAATATATTGAATTGATTTTTCTCTAAATTTTAATCTAAAACTAAAAAATGTATGCTTTTGTTAATATTATAGCATTCAATTATAAAACACAATTGATCATAAGTAAAGAAAAAGATTAGTAGGATTTTGAACTTAAAGAACAATTACAAGTTATCAACCCAAAAAAATTTCATTTTAATCTCAATTTTGTCTCTAAATTTTAAAACTTATATTTTAGTACTTCAACTTTTAAATTCCTTAATTTTAGTCATTGATACATTATTTTTTCGGGGATTCTAGAACAAAAATAAAACAAACTTTGTTGATGCTGAATTCTTATTACTTAAAAAAAACACTTAGGAACTAGAGTTCGAAACTACAAATATATATATAAGGCCTGCACAAAGAAGGAAAAGAGTTTTGCTGCTCAAGTCAATATAGATTCGAAGTAATATCTAATTTGTGTATCTGCATACGGAAGCTATCTCTATATTTATAAACATTGACATATTGGACCCGTTCAATACTCACCACGACCACAAGATTTTCGGCACGAGAATCTTTACTAAGGTAAAAGTCAAGGTAGGGTTTAAAATAGCAATCTTGTCACGTAGAAGATTGTTTTGTGCTGTCCAAACTCGAACGCTAGAAAACACGGATAGGGACTAAAATGATTCCATTGAAATTGGAATTGGTATGAAACAAAATAATGAGAATGGTATAGAAGTAGAAGAAAAGGGAAAAAAATGGTGTATGACCAAGTCAAAAAGGGTTATTTTGATGGATAATAATCACATCACAATAACACAAGTGTCCAAATTCCATTAACATCTCTGTTTCTTCTTCTTCTTCTTTTTTTTCCAATTGAAGCGCGTTTTGCTTGATGTTTACACCTCCCTCCCATTAACTCACCAATCTCCTTTCAACATCTCTCTTTCTAGTTCTCTCTCTCTATATATATTGCAGAGAGATGAAGCAAAAGAGAATTACTTTTGGCACTGAGAAATGGAAGCAGAGAAGGCAATGGCAATGGCGATGGCGATCGGGGAGAAGGAAGCAAAAGAAGAGTATCCACCCGGATTCCGCTTCTACCCGACGGAGGAGGAGCTTATCTCCTTCTACCTCCGCCACCAGCTCGTCGGAACCATCCCCGAGAAGCACCGGGTTGTCCCCCTCCTCAACATTTACGACTCCGAGCCCTGGGACCTCCCGAGTACTCTTCTCTTTCCCTCTAACTCTCACACCATTATAGTTGGAGTAGAAATTCAAATATTTAACTTTTTGGTCAAAGATATACTTATCTATATTTCGAGCTTACGTAAAAAAATTACATTTGAAAGTTAGGGATAGTACAATAGTACAAAATATATATCAATTACCATTGACCAATTGAAAAAAAAAAATTCACATTTGAAAGTATTGTTCATATTTTAATTTGTTTTTTGAAAACCCCATTTTTGTTAACCAAAAAAGATCCCAACTTTCAAAAGGTTGCATGCAAAATCAAAACCAAAGTTTGTTGCATTTTGTATAGTTTTTTTGGTTTATATTTTTATTTTGTATCTAATTTATGTATTTATTTTAATATTTTAAAATTTTAAATTAGAGATGAACAAAAATAGAGAGTAAAATTTTTTTAACCGAAATAAAGAGTAAAATTGAATTGAAACTAACAAATTTGACCTAATTATAAAATTCTAAATTTTGGGGGGTTTTGCGAAACAGATTTCGCCGGCGAGCTCTGCAGAGGAGACAGCGAGCAATGGTTCTTCTTGGTGCCGCGGCAGGAGAGGGAAGCTCGAGGAGGCCGGCCGAGCCGGACGACGGCGGCCGGATATTGGAAGGCCACCGGCTCTCCGGTCTACGTCTACTCCTCCTGCAGCAAGGTGATCGGACTGAAGAAGACGATGGTGTTCTACAGGGGAAGAGCGCCCACCGGAACCAAAACCAAGTGGAAGATGAACGAGTACAGAGCAATCGATGAAGAAGCCAAGGTCCGCCGCAAAAACACGAACAGCAATTAACAATTTCCTCTGTTTCAATCCTTCCATTCCGGCCGATTAATTCGCTCTTTCGTTCGATTTTTTTCTGTGTGCAGTTGAGGCATGAGTTCAGTTTGTGCCGAGTTTATGTGATATCGGGATGCTTTCGAGCCTTCGATCGGCGGCCGATGGAGGCGACGGTCGGCGGACCCGAACGGCGGGGAAAGAAGACCGTTCAGATGGCTAGGTCGCCGGAAACTTCGTGCTCGGTGCCGGGCACGGCGGAGATCTCAGGGGAGTGCGCCGGAAGTTGCAGTAATTTGGGGATGGTTGAAGAAGATGAAGAATTTGAAGAAGCTCTTTGGGAATGGGATCAAATTGATTTTGGCCCTAGAATCCAAAAAATTAATTAAATTTATAAATTTTGTAAAGTAAGATTCTTTTTTTGTTTTTTTAGAATATTAAGTTACACTCTACTTAACAATTTCTGAGTAGAAATATTTTTTATTAAAGGAATTTCAATAACTCTTTTATTTATTTTTCTAGTGAAAACTATTGAATTATTTGTTAAATGTTGTTGAGAAGAAATACAAAACTCCCCTTCCAGCTATTTATATGGTAATATTTATACATCCAAATTATATATTTTCTGTAAAAGTATTGTCGTTTATCTAATAATCATAGTACAATTTAATAAAAATCTCCATATTATGGTATTAAATATCCGTTGATAGGTCGACATTTACAAATTAATATACACCTAATATTAATATAAATCACTTTTAACTTATTTAGAAATAGAAAAATGTTTATTTGTAATTTAAATATTTTTTACGATTTTTTAATTTTTCTAACTTTTACAAAAATACTTAGTTCCATACCAAAAACTCTCTCGTGGTGGCACGTCTTTAGCCCCTGAAATATAAAAAAGTTTCCGGTTAAATTAAGGAATTTTTTGAATTATGATTCTACCATTTTACTTCTCTAAACTTTAAATGTCAAAATGAATATACATGTGTTGACTCATGTAAAAGTAATGATTTATGTAGAATTTCAAGTGTGCGTATGAAAATATTGTCACATGATCTACATACAACATATGAGCTGTAAGACCATGGTTAGAACATATATGCAGTAGAATGTGGGCCATTGAGTAGGTGAGCACACATGACTTTTTTGTCGTGGAAGAAGTCTTCCCTTTTCAACCTGCTTTCACGTCATGTTTTGAGTGAGTAAGAGTAAATTTTCATATACATCTATCTAATTTAGTCTACTCGTTCATCTAACGAAACTCTCTAATCAATATACATATCTTGATCTCTGTAAAAAGAGCTAGCTAAGACAATACGAAACCAGCCTTAGAAACTTCACTTCATAATACCAATAGTTACAAACATATTTCAAACTAGATTATATAGCCGACGACACTTAGCCATATGATTAATCCACTCCCAACAACATACAACACAACAACACAACACATTTTCAGCACAAATACACAAACCTTAAAGTTCTCAAAGCAGATTATTGCAAACTTAGCAGCTATGATATAACATTCAAGGAATGCCTATGATCGGGAGCTCAGGAAGATAGTAGCTGGAAGGTGCCAGCCCCCACTCACGTGGCAGAGGCAAATCAACGGTCTTTGAATCTGCAATAAACTGATCTTTCATGGCTTGGCATTTGTTGTGTTGTTTGCAAGTGGAGAACTTGAGAGCTGTGGCAATGGTGAAGAATTTGGAGTTGGTTGCCTTGATGACAATGGAAGCCATGTCTTTCCTTGAAGCATACAGTTGGTGAGGTCCCCCAACAAGTTTGGCAATGCAGTTGGAAGGAGGCGACTGAGAGTTGGAGGCGTCCGAAGGAAGCGTAGTTTCGAATGATCCATCGGTTCTGGTGATTGCTACGGCTAGGTTTTTCACTTTCTCGCACTTCACCACGATCTTGTTTCCTGAAAAGAAAGATTAACCATGTTAGTCTTTATCTTTATTTTAACAAATTGATCACGTAAATTTTGGTCTCGTATACTTTTGAGTTTCGACTTCGGTTTATTATACTACTTATACTTATACTTTCAATTTTTGTTCATTTTTGTCTCTGTATTTTCAATTTTCCTTTGTTCATTTTGGTCTCTAGATTTACAAAAATGTTCATTTTGGTCCCTGTATTTCAAAACATGACTATTTTGGTTTTTAATTGCAAAGTCTTAACATAAATTTTATATACAATGAAAACTCTTTAATTCAATTTTTTGAATGAACTGTCATGCTAAAATGAAATAAAAAAAAAAATGAATGAACCAAAATTGTCACTTTATTTTTTAAAGTACATTGACCAGAATGAACTAAAGTTAAAAGTACATAGACTAAAAAGACATCATCTAAATCGAAAAATTTAGAGATAAAAATAAGATATAGACCTTCTTAATTTCTCGCACGCCTCACTTAAAAAGACAACCTATCAAATAGGACACCAAAAAAAACATACATGTTTTATCAACATTTAATTAAGTCACTTCAAAATATTAATTACACGAAAACACTCAAATAAACGACATGTTCAATTTCAAACAACAATAAATAACAACAAAACATGCCATTCTTTCTCTTAACAAGAACAAAAAGAGAGACATGAAACAGAAAACAAATAACATGAAATAAGAACAACACAAGCTATATACCGACCAGAGAAGTCGTAGTTAGATCGACAGTCGAGGCAGGAGATCTTGGCCCTCAAAGTGTAGCATTGGGCAGCTTGAGTTGTTGCAAGAACCATGAGCAAGAGAAAAGGAAGAGTGAGGAGCAGCTTAAGAGAAGCCATAGATAAGATAGCAACAGTTGAATCAAAGTGTTTAGCTACTCAAAATCAGTATGCAGCCCTATAAATGAAGCATAAAGTAGAGGACAAAGAAGTTAATGTAAAAGGTCACATGGCCTCATTAAGTAGGTGGCATAAATGCCATTTGGTTTTAGTTACCATCCAGCTGACAAATTTCTTAATATGATGGGAGAAAGTCTTCTCCAAAGTAAAGTTGCAATAAATACTACATGGCAGGAATAGAGATTGCGTGGTTAGTTGCTCATACTAACAAAGAAAAATCTTGAGACATATTCACTCACCTATTAGTATTGTACGTTGTTTTCCTTTCAAATCTGAAATCCAAAAACAAACCATCAACTTGAATTGCTTCAAGCCCTGGCTCTTTCCTCTTCATATTTGGTCCAATTTGTCCATTTGATCCTTTTTGTCACTTTGTCGATAATTGTTTAATAGATAGATAAAGTGATTTTGAATATACTAAAATAGACTTTTTGAAAGTTAAAATACCAATACTTTTCTTTGTTTTTTTTTATTTTAGAGTAAATTATAAATTTAGTAATTGAAAACCGTGTCTAATAAGGTTCTTAACTTTAAAAAATACTTAACAAATAAAATTTTCTTAACAAATAAAATTTTCAATGATGTATCTAATAGATCATTGAACTTTTTAAGTGAAAAAGTCCTACGTTCCTAAATTTTAAAGTGTTTAGTAAATACATGAACTTTAAAGAACATTTCAAGAACATTTTAGACACAAGATTATTATATATTGTCTAATAAGTAAATGGTTCATCAAACACAAAATTGAAAGCTTAAAAACCATAGTTTATGAACCTATTAGACACAACCTAACCTTAAAATTTAAGAATCAAACTTACAATTTAGACCCTATTTGATAACCATGAGTCTAATAATTTATTTAGTATGTCTTTTTAGTAAACACATTTGAATCCCTTGCAAATTCTAAAAACCAAAACAAGTTTTAAAATTTTTTTTTTTGTTAATTTTCAAAACAATGAAACCCAAAGTAATAGTGTTTCTTGATTTAATTTAAAAGTCAAAAGAATAAAAAATGAAATAATAATCAAACAGTAGCCCTTAAATTTTAATTTAATTTAAACAAATACCTCTAAATCCTAACCCAAAATTTTCAATTTTTCAAAAACCCCATTTTTTGCTTGAAAACATGTTAGGCCTTTCAGAAATATTTTTATAAATTGAAAAAAAAAAAAGAAACTCAAGTACTGTTCATAAATTTAAAATTTGAAAAGACCAAAATCAAAACAAATTCGTTATAATTTTTCTTTTAGGTCAAAATTGTTAGAAAATTTAGGACCCTACAAAATATATGAAATTGAAACTGAATGGTTAATCTTAATCCAATTCATTCTCAAAAATCCCCTCACTCAGTCAAAGGAATATATGGCTGCAGCCATTTCCCGGAATGCAAGGGTAAATGAAATATCAATAATGCCCCTCCCTTTGGCTTATGGTGCCACAAAAATTACTCTGCTGCTATTTTTCCAGGTGTATCGATAAGATATCATTGAAAATGTCGAGATCTCAATATTGTCATGCGGTCCCATCACCAAACTCCCCAGCTTATACTCAAAAAAGTCCTCAGGCTACTTATGGAACAATTTGAAAGACGGAGAGTAGAATTGAAACTTGTAAAACAATAAAAATTCAACCAATCCTACGTAGACTAAAAATTCATATGATAAAATACCAAAGCAAGCATAACTCAATGGTAATTGACATATACCTCCAACCATAAAATTTTAAATTCGATCTCCTACCTCACATATTGTACTAAAAAATAGTTGAAATGTAGAATGACATAATTAGTCCGGCAATTTTTACCCGCTTCACACTCCAAAGAACAAAAATGTTGCTAACGTCTTGTTTTGTTTTCAGGACATGGACGAATAAAATGATACATACCTCACTTTCTGGACCTGTCTAATCCAATGGTGTGCAGCCAAATTTCTGCCGTATTCGATTGGGAGAAGCATGTTAACAGGCTGCAAGTTTAGGGACAGAATCCGTAACGAAATCCAAAAAAAATGACCTCACCAAATAATAAAATATCCAACGTGTTCATATTTCTATCTACATTTCCACGAATCAAAAGTTGTAACCGTAGAATCAAAGGAAGCTGTGGCTCAAACAGAATCCATAGCTAAGGAAAGGTAGTAAGTTTACTATCAGAAAGCAAATTGCATAAGTCAATACTAAGTACTACTATCCTTCACCTCATCGAAACAGTATCCTATGTACATCATAAACTGACCTTGTTTCTCTGTGAGACTTGGGAAGCAGAGGGCATTAATGGCGAAAATGGAGTAGCTGAAACTCGGCCAATGCCCGACAGGAGAGAGGTCACCCCTGCTAAATTTTCAGGATAACTTATTGTCTTGTACAGGGCCAAGCAGAAGATTGGTTAAATTAGAGGTCCAGAAACAAACACATCCAAATTCAGTATAGCCATAGTGTAGAAAGAAACTGAATGCGATTATATCGCCTCTAGGATGCAAGAAACCTTAACAAACAAAACAATTCTCTTTCTTCCTGTGCCTTAGAGAAGGTTGAGAATCTATAAACTAATATTGAGAGGTATTTTCAAGCTTCATTTAGCATACAAAATGATTCTCCTCCTGCTGAGTACTTTGGAGAAGATTGAGAATCTAATAAGTAATACCTACAAGATGCAGGCAAAGGTCATTCGAACTTTAACCATGTACACCTAGAAATTAATAACCAAATCTATTTATCCTTGAATGCATATTGCATAGTCACTTATGTGACAAATTTCTCAACCTTCCATGAGCTGCAATGGTGGAGCCAGGGGATGAGAAGAAACAAGCATATTAAGAAAAGAAAAAAAGAAGTCTACTTCCGTCACATTTTCCAGGAACCAAAATATGACATAACAATAATACACAACGGGAGAAGAAAGAAACAAGTTAAGAACGGGAAAGGACGAAGGAGACAGAGGAGCAAATCAATGTCCAGAAATCAGAGGTGGCAATCTCATTTTCAAAGAAAATCAAATTACGACATTGTCTGTGTCAAATCTATAAGAAAACAATAACAGACAAAAACAGCAGATCTAAAATGAAATGTAGTCCATTCACATGCTCCCATCTCATAAGAAACAGTCCAACAAAGTGTTTTTCTGCTGGCACTGGAAGCAAACAAATTACCTCTGGAGGCCGTCAAGCAACATCACCACCAGCAAGGATCTGTCAGAATATTTATAAACTAAAACGAGTGGAAAATTATGATATAATGAAAGGAAGTATGTCAATCAAATCCAGCTACTGCTCTATCCAGATTAAACTATAGGCCATGCACGACTCACTTTTCACTTTAATACTTTTCGTCTATGCACTGAATAAAAAGAATTCAGGTTTCAGAAGTCCCCAAACAAGGAGCCATACCTAGTCTAATCCCCTCAACTTCCTACGTACCATGACAGAATAATGGAATAAAAAGTAACTTGAAGTTCATTAAAGGAGGGAAAGAACCAAACAGCAGTTATTCAAATACGATTACCCATGAACTTATTTTTGGAGCCACATTTTATATGCATTATTTCTGGTATTGATTATAGAACTCTAGAAAGTACAATTCTGTATCATCAACATAGCTTGATTTCCTGCATTTGTTTCAACCATTTTGCCTATTAATACCTATGTAAATTGATCTTCATTAAATCTTAATGAATTGAAGTGTTGATTGTTCATCATTCTCCTCTGTAATTATTAATCCTCTCTACACTAATAATTAATCCTCTCTTTTCCAGCTTCCCCTCACCCACATCAGTACGTACTCATCCTGCATTCCAAGAGGTTCGATCACCCATTACAGGAGTTGAAAGCAACAATAAACATTTCCATGGGGGACGGAAGTTGAAAGCAACAATAAACATTTCCATGGGGAACGGAAGTTGAGAGCAACAATAAACATTTCCATGGGGAACATATGGTCCTCCGTCACAAACAATCATAGGTTGTTCTAGTTGTTAATAGGACTAATATAAATAGTAAAGGGAGTTGGAGCGAATAGATTCAAACCATTGTAACTAGCTACCTAAGATTTAATATGACAACCAAATGTAGTAGATACAGTTGTCTCGTGAGAATAGTCTGATGTAGGGATTGAGGAAAATATCATTAAACACAGCAACAAAATGGATACTTTTGCTCCTTATGATCCCAACCCTATTAAAATAAACAGACATGTTGGGCTAAATTTGCTCGAGGTTATCACTACAAGAAGGTATCATAAAGGACGCACTCTGTCATTCACAACTTATCATGTTAAGCCAGTATCCACATAAAGAAAAGACATGAGTGATGGTCCGATAAAGGTAAAAGAAAAGCTCCAYAATATTCAGAAACAAGCACCGTTCGACTCAACCTATAAAACATGTAGCGTATTTCTTAATCCAGATGTCCAAGAAACTTGGCAAAGTTACAACTAGTGTTCTATTGATTTGATTCAGTCAAATTAAGAAAAAAAGAAATGAACAGTGTACACAGTTTGAATTATTTTATGCCGCCTTATATGACTAAGTAAGGAGTAATTGGCGTTATATGACTAAGACAGAGTAATTGAGCTCCCTTTAAACACAGAAGGATAAACGAAAAAAATTAACCAAATTGAACACTCTCCATTTTGGACTTCTTTTTTGCACCCAATAGTTTTATGTAGAATCCCTTCTAGTTGAACTCTTGTAACTAGAAATGTAGATGCAAATCTAACAACATTACTAGAATTTAATAATGATAGATTGAAAAATGTTTTCAGATAAACAGTCAAACTTACAAAGAAACTTGCCAAGTAAATTCTTAGATGCCCTTCAGATAATTACAATTCCAATTCTTTCTTATGATGAGTGTCAAGCAGATTCAAATATTCCTGGACCCTCGGCATTCTAGAAAGAGCGACGCAAATAGTCGTCAAAGTGAACCAGACACTCGCAGCTTTGCGAATTGTCGAAAGCTAAGTAAGCAAATCTGTTCCTCCAAAATTAATTACAGAAATTCAATTCCCATTAATCAATCAAGAAAACCTGTTCGTCTCCAAACTGCGTTGCGAACCTGGCGGAGATCCCTGCCCTTTAACGTCCTTCCTGCGCCCTCGAGCACTGAGCATGACAACAATGGCGATTGGGCCAAACTTCTGGCCACAAWCTCGTGCGGCGGCAACATCTCACCATCTCCTTCATCAATGTCATCCACGTCCAACTCCTGGTGTCTCTGAACCGGCTTCGACATTATCGGCACATTCACCGGGGCCGACTGGTACTTCAACGAGGCAGAAATCGGAAGGGGCAATCGTTCCAGAGGAGGTTTCGGAATGGTGGGAATCATACGGGAAGACGAAGGGGAGGAAGAAGACGACGAGGAGGAAATGGACGCCTTGTGGTAGAAATAGGAAGAGCTGCGGAGACTGGACGAGGCCTCGTTTTCGGGGAGAGCGGCGAGGATTCCGAAGGTCTCCGGCTGGGGGAAACCCTTGTGCTGAAGGTGGTGGATGTGGTGGCGAGGAGTGGAAGAGGAAGAGGAGGAGGGAGTGGAGTGGGTATGGTGGCCGGATTCGGCAGCGAAATCGCCGGTCCAGAAGACGTCGTCCTCGTTGAGCTCGTTCTCATCGTCGGCTCCGTTGACAGGGGCGGCGGTGGAGCTGAAGCTAGGGTTTCCATGGCGGGAGGCCGGAGATGAGAGGGAACCGAGAAATCGTTCGGTGGATGAGGATTTGCGGTGGCGGAAACGGGCGGCGGAGCCAACATTGACGTCCATTTTGGCCGGAATCAGAAGAATACCCGCGCCGTCGTCCAATCCGCGAGGGCAACGCAGGGTTTTTTAATAAAGGCAGAATTTCTACATTAAGGGCAATTAAGAACAAGCGTTTCTCTGTGTGTAAATGTAAATTTATAGAAGAAAAAGTCTTCTTTTTWACCTTTTAGAAACAGAAACAAAATCAAGAATAATCGGAAYTAAATCTTGTTTTTTKGAATTATTTTCAACTGAAATTTAAATAAAAATATCATACAACTTTAAACTATATTAAATATTGCGATAAAATATATTTTTCGTCTTTTCATCCCTGAGTTTAAAAAGCCATCATTTCAATTTCCATTSACATGTTTGGTAATTGAAGTTTGAATTTATTTTTTTAATTGATTCCTAAAATTTCAATTTGATCTTGACTTAGCAAAATGATGATGTAGTAGTTAACATATGTTACTAGATAAAAAGAGATTTATCAAATTACTCAAGACGAGCGTTGATGAATCTAGTTTGATTGTCGAAAAACTTGGTGTTCACATTRTTGTAAATTAGAACCGAGTGAATTTAAAGGTTTAATTTGATAAYGAAGAGGGGTGGTCGAGAGGGGAAGAAATGAATGAGAGGAGAATGGAGAGAGAAAAATGAGGGAAAAATGTCACTTAAAGATAATAAGGAATAATAAAATTTATCAACTCGTTAAAAATTATGCATAATCAAAGTCTAGTACTTTGGACCCATTTGGTAACGTTTTCATGTTTATCGTTTCTAATTTTCTTAACAAATCTAAGCATTTTACAACTAACTTTGTTTTTCATTTCTGGTTCCCATTTTTAATTTGTTCTAAATCTTAATGTTAGAATCATGCAATATATTTTTCTTTATTAAAAATAAAGAAACAGAAACAAATCGGAGCCTTTATGTTAGCTACTACATCTATTCATCATTCCACTAGCTCAACTCAACTGAGAGACGAGAGAAAAACTAAATTCAAACTTGAGAACTAGTTAAAAACTAAATTCAAACTTTATGGACTAAATATGTCATTGTTCTATTTTCTAAATCAAATTCCAACTAATTTTTACTCCAAATTCTAGTTGAACGAATCATAGTTTCCTAATTTTTTTAGTATACTTGTAGGATGAAGATTTGAACTCACAATCTTTTCGTCAAAAATAGGTATCGTAACCAAGTGAACTATCTCGAATTGACTAGTTTGACAAAGAAAGTACATATTTATTTATTTTATTGAGAAATTAAATGTCATATATTTTGAACTTTATTTTTTTTAATTCAACAAACACAGAGGTGGAGAATTGAATATTCCACCTTAAATAAGATAGTTGGCATATTACTACCGAGCTATGTTCGAATTGGTTTATACGTATATACTTTGATCCTCATTTTGGTCCTTCGTAAAAAAAAGAACAATCTCCTTTCTAATGTATACTTTTTTTTTTGTTAGCTTCATGTATGCTGTTAGGCGTGGTTGTTTAGAGTTTTATATGCATATTTTTTACACAAAATATCTTGAATTTCTCCAATTACATATTTAGTTGTCAAATGAAAAAAAAAATTTAATTTTCTTAAACTTTTTATTTTATTCCTAAAACTTCTTTGTGGTCGGCGACTCAAATTTGTAATTTAACTAAAATAGAATTGGTTTCTATTTCTCTTTGCTCCTTTAATTTGTCCTCAATTGTGACTACTTGACCCTCGGTCTCTCTGGTCGGCCAAAAATTTCAATTGTAAAAAAATATATATAGATGTCAAATACCACTGAACTAAGCTTATATTATCCATTCATTATTTGTTAGGTCGTATTAAAAATTATGTGGAGTCTATCAAAATAAAAAAATTATCTATAAATAAAAAATTATAGTGTGAACAGAAGGGGTAGGTATTAATTTTCCTTTAGCGAAGTTTAGTAATGTGACTGTACACCACAATTAATATTCAATTCAATTGGTTAACAAAAAACATCTCTCATTTGAATTGATTAATATACTCCATAAAAATGACAAATATAGAAAATGAACTTGCCCTATAAAGTAAGATTGCGTCAAATCTAATATTTCACAAGTATATTTTTCAAAACATTTATTTCTTTAATCACATAATTAATTAACCCAAACATTGAATAATTATTATATTTAAATTATTTAATCGACATACTAAGTGGTCCTCCTAATAAGCTCACAAAATTTCATTTAAAAGTGTCGCCCCTCAATACCATCTAATTAATTAAGATTATGGTTTAAGAAATTTCTCGTCGGAATACAATTTTCCATCATATTAAAGAGAGAGCACTATATATTCTTTATGAACAATGTGCTCATCGATTAACACCTACCATCATGTTTACTACTACAAAAAAAAATTTGACAGCAAAATGATTTATTTTCCTGCATTTCTCTTTTCTCTGATCTCCCATGCATCAAAATTTTAGTGGTAGTCAGCAAAGCATAGATGCTAACCAATAAACACTAAAATATTTTCATTCTTAATTATGGTATATCAACAAATTGAAAGTCTCTCAATTCAAGCTTTTGCAGAGTRGAAGAAAACCAAAATGCTCATTCAATCTTCCCTCGTAGCTAATTCTATTTTTCTTGTTTAAGGATTGATTTCTTCTATGCCATTATAATATATATAGATTTCAAATATCAATGTTTTACATAATAAGATATGTTTATTATTATTGGATAATGATTTTCTAACACCAGCTTAATTCGAAGCTTTTAACAAACACGACATGAGAAGGAAAACATCAAACATGTTTTTATTTTGAAAATGACAATAAAAAAAGACACACACACACACACATATATATATATATATAAAATGGCTTAAGCTTGTACTTTTTTAAGATTAATTTGGGGGTGTAAGTCCATGTTTGATTCTACGAACGACAGCCACATGAGTGTTGAAAGCCTTAGCGAGAACATCATCACTTATCCCACTCGAAAACACCGACAACGGCACCGACACGGTACCGGCATTGGCACTGCCGAAGGCGGCGATGGCGGTGGCGGAGTTGAGAGGGTCGGAGTTGAACTGGAAGTGAAGCAATCCTTTAGGGAACAAAAACASATCCCCAACTTGAAGGGTCTGGTTGAAGAGTTTGTTGGTGGTGTCCACGAACCCCACCTGCAAGGAAATTGGGAAGAAATAAAAGTATAATAATTTTAAAACTATTTGTTTAAGAATGATGAATATTTTGTGAGTATCTATATCTAGTTATCGACTATGGTACACAAACTCTCATAATTCATACATATCACACGTGAATTGGTGGATTTTTCATAGTTGGAGGGGTGACAATCGATAGACTTTCTTTTCTAGATCGTCGTCTCATCAATGAGCCTAGATTCATAGAGATGGATTTTGTGTTGGTCAATATGTGTCTCATTTTTCAAGTATAGTTTTATTTGATAGAGATCGACAGGTGATTCATTCTTTCGTCTTCTATAGTCTGTTAGTCGTCTTGATCCACCAAAAATATCTTGAGCTAGCTTCTTTGAGGAGATTTAATGGGAAAGAGAGGTGTGCATGCAGACATTTTTATGGTAAGAGACTGATCTAGCTACTTCTACAATGATCTATATTAGATTGTGTACTTAAGTAGTCCATTATTTGTGGTATATACAATCATCATTAGTATCAATGTTTTACATAATAAGATATGTTTTACATGTGAACGAAAAATACTTGGCTTCCTTRCRGGTGAGGAACAAATCTTTTCTTCGCCACCGTTAAATGTTTGACAACTCATTATTAAAAACAAATTATGTTTTTGCATTTTTAATTATCTCTTAGTTGTCAGACATTTAACTGTGGTGAGTACAAGATTAGTTCTCACCGGTAAGGAGCCAAGTATGTGTGTATATTTTGAGACTTTCGCAATTTTAATCTGTATATTCATGATAATATCACACGTGTTTTAAGATGCCAAAGATATATATGATTTCAKATGAYCTAATACATTTACAACTTATCTTCACTCGATAGATAAAAAACAACTCATGAAGGGTGATAAAGTTCATGAAAAGTCTAATAGCAATATATTGAAAGGTCATCGTTCGTGATGAAAATCGAGTAAAAAAGCAAATAAATTGTCTTTGGTTACGTAATGAGCCCAAAAAATACTTTAAGCAAAAATATTTATTTGCATTTTGCTACTGACTACCGCTACAAATTTGATAATCTTTCGTTCTCTAAAACAAATAGAAAAAATATCTCAATTTCTTTATTTTTTTTATTTTTTTCTTTTTTGACCTGTCAAAATTTTAATCACGGTGATATCATTTTCCCTAATAATTACTTTTAAAAATACAATATTTAAAAAAGAAACATTGATAAAAAGAAAAAAAAATGTGAAAGTGGACCTGCAGGGTGCCGGAGAGAAGGAAGAGGAGCTCCGCCGAGCGGGGGTGGGTGTGCGGCGGGTTGACGGCGCCGGCGGGGAACTGGAGGACGGTCAAAGAAACGCTCTGCCCGAGGAGGGCTGGGAACTCCAAGAAGGTCGCTTTTGTGGGCTTGAAATTTGGAGGGAACTCTCCGGCCACGGCGAAGCGTAGCCCCGTGAAGGTGAAGAAACTGCCGTTTGCGCCGCCGTCTAGTGGGCCGATGAAGTCCACTATCAGATCCGCGTCGCCGGCGTCGGCCATATTCCAACAACTGGACAAGATCATGGCCACAACCACGAAGAACAAAAAATAAGAGGAAGCCATAGCCATTTATGTTATATTATATTTTAAGTATGGTTTTTTAATTATTGGGAGAGTTAAAGGTGTGATTTTTATAGGGAAGGAATTTGGTTGGAAATTTTTGGGTTATACAGAGTGTTATTCTTTCTTTCTTGTGGGTTTAATTTGATGATTACAAAGAAGGATTTTCGCTTTGGATTTGTGGGATTTGTTCTAGAAAACGGGGTTTTTGGATGGAGGTGTTTGGAGTTTAAAGAATGTTTGAAGAATTGTTCGTTTGCCTAGGAAAAATAGGAATATGCCTTAATAACTAAATTTGGATCTAACATGTGATAGGTTGGTATTAATTTTGACTTTTTAATGCCAATTACGTTGAACCGAGCCCATCATGTTAACACAAAAAGAAAAAAACTTAGAAACATTACTTCCCCTTATCGTATAGCTCGTTAGAGGAAATCGGACCTACAAAGATTGATGAATTATATTCTTTGCCTAACTATATTTGATTAGTTTCTTACTAATGATACATACGCTAGAGGCCCTCCTAAGTCCTAAGCATATCTCAAAAGGAGCAAGGTAGAGGGGGTTGAAAACAGCGTATGGCAAAGCTCCTTCGAAGGGTTGGGAAAATCGACTATTTGATTCTGAATTGATTCATGGTGAATTTAGGATGAGTTTAGGATGAAGTCAATTATTGTGTTCCCTTTTTTAGTTGTATAGYTTTTGTGAACATTAATTTTCAATGACTAAATATTAGAAACTCTACGTACGTATGTATATGTATGTGTGTAATTTAGATAGAAATTCAAATATTTTTTAAAGAGAAACGGGGAGGGGATGAAATTGTACCCTAACAAACATGATTTTTTTAAATAAAAAACTATAAAAAAAAACCATTATCAAATGGCACATAAATTATCAAAGTTTAAATTAATTTCCACAAATTTTGAACCTCGTCTCAAATTTAATTATTGGGCCAAAATGAACATAGCTCAACTGTAAGCTGACAATCCTTACTTGCATATTAATGTGGTTGGTAGTGAAATTTACTTTGTTAGGTGGCTTCTATATATCTCACATGGTCGAGCTATAATACATTTGGGCCAAATGTAATTTGAACATAGTTCAATTGATTAAGACACCTATTTTCGATTTATAATTCAACGGATTAAGGCACATATATATGTTCAACCATGAAGTTGAGAATTTGAATCTCCACACCAACCACATGTTGTACTAAAAAAAAATTCGTGAGTTCGAATATCCACCTCTATATATCGTACTAAAAAATAAACTAGGTTCACCTCGTAGCCTAGGGTCTCACTCAATTGGGTCATATATGTGCCATCCTAGCTAGTAGCTTCTAGCTCACGCAAATCAATCTAATAAACGTGTCGAGTCATTGAAAAACCCACATTGAAAATTACATCATTTTGTTTGAGACTTCGCAAGAAAAAAGAATTTTACTTGAAGTGTTATTAATCAACATCCATGATCAATTAGCTTACAATTCATGATCCTAAAAAGTTCAAGAACTTATGGTAAAGAAAATTATAAGTTAGAAGAAATCGCTGGATGCTTGTAATTTGCAATTTTTAAAGTTAAGTTTTAGGTAAGTCTTCCAAACGAGAAGTGATGGGAAAAAATATAGACAAACTATTTAATTTTTTCTCTTAGCAGCAATAATAAACCAATAAGAGATAGGGATGAATTAAAAAACTTAACCACCAAAAGGATTATACTGGTTTGCCCAATCTTGGGACTATTCCCGATCTTCCACAAGAGCAAATTCCATAATTGGAATATTATAATGGAGGGATATCATTGTATAATGACTATCTTACTTCTATCCTAACAATGACTATTTAGGATTACATAATTAAAAATATCTTCACCAAACCTGCATATACGAACTCTTTTTCACACAACCACTCAAATCTCTTTTATTTGGATTCTGTACAAATAAAATCTTCCTTATTAAAAAACAGTATCTTAATCCTTATAAAAAAGCAATACTCTACCTCTCTGGTAGGAAGTCGTAGTAGAGTTGAAAATAATTTCCCTCATAGGTTACAGGATTTTCTAATTTGGCTCCATTATAGTCTTCTTAATAAAGTTTGCATATCAGTGTCCATSGATTCACACTTTAATTGCCAACCAAGCATTGYTCAACTGATTAAGATATATATCTTCTATCAAAAAGCCCCCTAAATATGCTAAAAAAGAATCCACACTTTAATTAACACAAGTATCATTGTTATAATTTATAAATTTTAAATTATTGGGACAATACAGTAAAAATCTTAAAAGCATACAGAAAATTCACACAAAAGAATAATGATTACATTTAACAAAATACATTAGAAATAATGGCAAGAGGTTAAAAAAATTCATTTAGGATAGCAGTCTATATGCATGCACCTTTAATATAATCAAAGTTTAAATATTATATATTTTTGTTCCTATATTTTGGCTCTTTTTCATGTATTTTCAAACCATTGGATTTAGTCTTAATATTTTCAAACTTTCGCTTATTTTAATTCCTCGTACTTTCAAAAACTTCTATTTTGATTMCTATACTTTTAAAAAGGTGATCAATTTGATTTTTATTTGAAAATTTTTAATACAAATTTTACATACAATGGAACCCCGTTAATATATACAAATTTATGACTATAATTCAAGAAATTTAGTGAACGTTTTGAAAGTACTAGAACTTATAAAATGAATAAAAATTGAAAGTTCAAGATAAAATAGGCAAAGTAAAAAAATACAGAGACCAAAATAATATCTTAGCATATAATCAACCCTAAAAACTAGGGTTATGACATTCAATTAACAGCACCACATCTTTTTCTAATCTCCCCCTGAGAACCAGTGAGAACTTGAATTCTTCCCATATTGATCATGGCTTGTCCAAACTTATACGAGAAGTCGAATCCAAATGCTACATTCGACACTAGATCTTTCGTTAATGGATTTAAAGCAAGTTGTTGATCGATTTCCAGTATCCCTCTTCGTTGCAATATCTGTTTATGAAATGACTTGTCGACGACGAAAGAACTTAGAAAGTTCTGGTCAAGAAATACAGCATTGTCGTTGTCTGAATTTCGAGGACATTGGTTTCGCAGGTTGTTGAGCAACCATGGATCGATGGTCGGGTCGGGTCTCCCTGTGTTCTTGTAATTATAGAGGCGATCCTTGAAGAAAATGCAATGTGCTACCCCAACAGTGTGGCCACCTGCTTGTGTTTCAGGGAAACAAAAATAATAATCACCCGTCTTATTTGATAATTATTTTGTTTTTAGTTAGTTTCTCTGCTAGAATGTATTGGATTTTTATTACTATTCACTAATCACAAAGATGTTGGATAAACTTTAATAGAGGATAAGAGTAATGATAAAAATAAAATTTACATTACAAACTCAATAGAAATGGAAGTGTAGGGACTGAAAATATAATTTAATCAATAATAGAAAAAGTAAAGAAATTAACACAACAAGAACATATTATTTAGGGCTACCCACCAAGAAGATAAACCATATCTGTAACACTTAGGTTCCTCTTAGAAAAGGCTGCAATGGAGTCCGAGACTGATATCGAAGGCCCCGGAAGATCTATGTTAAAGGCGGGTTTCAACCCGTCTCGCCGTCCGGTCTCCACGCCGTATCGTCCTCCTCCAGCCTACAATAACCCAATGACGATATATATTGATTCACAAAGTGTCTTCGAAAATACTTATAAAAAGAGAAAGAGAGAAAAGAGAGATCAGTAGGAACCCAAGAAACAGCATCTCTTGTAGCCATGGCGATAATATCAGCACAAGAAACAACTCCAGGGCATGCCCTCTCCACAGCATTCTTCACTGCATCAATAAGTTCGTAACCTCTTACGCTCAGGTTCGGAGGAGCTCTCTTCTCGCTATTGCTTCCATCCAGTAGGAGGGAAGCGTCACATCCCTTCAAATGAAAAGATTTTATCAAATTATCCACGAAACCCAAACACTTAAGCTATGAGTAGTTATAATAATCTTTTCTGAGACCGTGACATTTCTATCAACATCAGTATCTAAAATCTTGAGACACTCTCAGCATGTTAATGTCGAAAGAGAGTGAAAACAAGGAGAGAGAGCGCTTACAGAAACAAAGCAGTCATGGAACTGTAAACGAAGGAGAGCGGCAGTGAGAGTTCGATCCCCCGCAAGTGCAGCAGTAACGACATTTCTAACGATGGATTCAACATCTCTGAAGCCACATTTTCCCTTATAGAATCCCACCTGAAGGTTTCCAGAGCTCGAAACTACGAAGCTCAAGAGCATCATGAGACCTAAGGCGAGCGCCAAAGAACAAGGAATTTTAGTTGTTGACATTGTTGTCATGGTTATGGAGCTGTGAAAAAGGAATCAATCAATCAAATGAGTATGCCAAATTAATTGTCATGCACACAATTATATTTCTTCCCTGTATCATCTATATATATGTATAATGGCAAGGTTTAAGCTTCTCTATAATTGGCTGGAATGGGCTGSACGATTTCAATATTCTAAAACTCAATCTCAAGACGTGCAATAATTGAACAACAGAGCAAAAATGACCATTTTGCATTGACTTGTAAAAAAAGATGTGAAACAGCCCCATGAACAATATGTAGGATTTGGCTGTGTCAAATCAACTTGGAGCAAATCTTTTATATATATATATATATATATATATATTTGTTATGAAATTATATTTGGAGTAAAGAGACATGTGTGAAGGGCAACATTATATAGATATGGGAAGATCATGAATCCAAGTATATGATGGTATATATAATTGAAGGAAAGTTTGTTTTTTCTTATATAAGTAATTTTCATATATATATATATATATATATATTCTTTTTTTTCTCTGTTTTTGTTGAAAATTTTGGATAACAACCATGGAAATGGTCACTAAACATGTTTATGTTTCTTCTTTTAGTAGAAAAGAAAAGAACAGTTAATTATGTTTTTCTTTAGAGAAATTGCAGTGGGCGGCATCTAGTATCTCAAATACTCATATCAGTAGTATATCAGACAAATGATATTAGTAGTATATCATATACATATTGCACAGACACTCATATCAATAGTATATCAGATGTATATCACATACATATATCAGTAGTCATATATATTACATATATATTTACAGATGTATATCATTTAGGTAAAGTTATCATTTTAAAATTGGACATGTGTTTCTTTTTTAAAGTGCTATATTTGAGAAAACTGAATGTGGTTGGTTATTTTGATAAGTTTACTAAATAGTTTTGTCATATTTGCAACGGTCTATTTTCTTTATTAAAAAATAGAAAACAATAAATAAGAATATTACCTACGCAACTCATTATTTTTCAAAAATTCACTTTTGTTTTTTGAAATTTTAACTAAGATTTCAAACGTTTTTTTTTTTTTAATATCGACTATATTGAAGCATAATTTTAGAAAACAAAAAGCTTAAGATGAAATCGTCATCTTTTGTTGTCAATCCAATAGATCTTTATTAATTATCCTCCATAATTACCGCCAAACTAATTGGAGAGAAAATGGAAGGAAAAAAAAAGACATTTTATATTCTCTCATAAAGAGATGAGAGATTTTATAATTTTTCCAAGGTACTTTAGAAAGAATTCAATAGGCATGAGTTGTCAAACAAAATAAATAAATAAATAACTATTCCCCAATTAAATAAATATACAAAATTTATTTTTAAAAATTCAATAGGGTGGCCAACTAAAACTATTTGGACGTGGTGTTTCAAGTCCAATTCAGATTGTGATCTTGTTTTTAATTAAAATTTAAATTAAATAATCAATACTATTTATTATCCTCTCTGCTAAATAATTAATTTGTTACATTATTATAATGAGCTAACAAGAGAACTATTGGATTTGCAAATTTCTATTAATCAAATTTTTAATTATAATTTTTGTCATTAATCTATTATATGTATCGTAGATGTAATCCTTATCCACGATTTGAAAATGATTAATAGTTGTGTATAATTTGGTCAAATTATCGTTTCTCTATAACTATCTCTTATCTCTAACGACATCCTCTCATGATCACATCACACGTTAAATCTTTCTAATATCCAAACTAGTATTTTAAAGAAGGATGTCACACTTGCCATTTCTATACCGAAAGATATGATTAGTTGAAAAGTAGCAAATATTTTAAATTTGTCTTTAGGATGATCTAATCCAAATTTGGGTTTGTGGTGAAGATGTGTTGTTCCAAGTTGCTGTATTTGAAGTTGGGAAATAATTAGTGTTCTACCGTTGAGTATTCAAAGAAAATTTGTTTAAGGTGTTGATTCTCTTTTCAAATAAAGGTCTTCTTTGGAAGAATCTGAGTTAGCTGAGTAGTTCGAGCATGAATTTCCAAGACATCCTTTTCTAGATCAAAAAAAGGTGAAACGTTGAAGGTCCATAACAAGTAATATAAATGAGTGGAGTGACTTGCTACTTTCAATCATCAAAGGAAAATRGAGCAAGGCAAGGGAGAAAGAAGTTATTTCCTCTTTTATGGTAGTCTGCTGCCGGTCATGACGATTACTCTGTCTGCCAACTGTAAATTTGAAGTAAAGGGTCTAAAAACAACAACGTTTCTCAACTTTTTTACAGATGAGAAAAAAACGCATAAAGATCAAAAGAGACAAGAAAAAGCTCGAGTTGTTTTTCAAAGTTTGTTTTTCTGTGAGATTTTAGATCGAAATGCGATATTAAGAAATAGGAAATCGATTCTCTAGCTCGAAATCGAAACTAAGAATAGGATATAATTGGTGAATTGTGCTTGGTTTTTTGTATGGAATCTCTTAGGAATTGTTCACAATTGTGTACTAATTATAATTAGCCAACAACTCTTCTCATTTTATTTGTTTAACAATCCACTTCTTTCTACTATATCGATTTGTCACGTCTTTTTTGTTTAGTATAACATGTGGGGTGGGGGTTCGAATGCATGACTTTTTGGTCAGAGATAGGTGTCTTAACCACTTGAGCTAGACTCGGTTTGGCATGTCATGTTAAATTAGTCAATATTTTTATGCATCATCATTTAATTCAATAAAAATGAGGGAGTTATTCAACGGAGAGTCTAAGCGCACAATTATTGACAAACCATGGAAACTAAATTAATCATAATATTTAATTAATCTAGTTTTGCCCTCACTGTCAAACAAATTTACATGAGCATTGTTACTATACATACTTGAAAGTCAAGTTACCTATTTGCTAAAATAAAATAAATGTAAGGACTAATAGTTATTTTAAAAGTTGTATGACTAAAACAGATATTTTAAAAAGTATGGGACTAAAATAAAATAAATTCAAAAATTCAAAGACCTAAATGAATATTTTGAAAGTTGAAGAATAAAAAATAACTAAACTCTCTTGAAAGTTCAGGGACGAGGAGATTTTATAACCAATTTGGACATAGTTCAACGGGTTAAGATACTCTCACATGTTGTACTTCAACAAGGTAGAGATTTTAACCTAAAAAATAATATGAACCATAAATCTATGATCAAACAAAGCTTTCAAAATGGTGAAATTGAATTGATTCAATAATGTGATATATGCATAACCACTCTAATACTACAACATGTGGACTAGAAAATTCGAACTCACAACGTTTTAGTCGAAGATATGTGTCTTAATCAATTTAGCGAAGTGTATACCTATTCCTCAACCGTACTCTAAGCTATAATATTTGTGTTTTCATCTCTAATATTAATTAATCACAAATATAGATTACCATTACATATCTTTGCCAAACTTAATTGATAATCAAGCATCTAGCATCTCTTTTACTATTCTCCTCATTTACAATATAATATTGTCTAAATATATATATATATATATGTATATTTTCGAGTTCAAATCATCTCCGAGTCGAATTACTACACGTGTTGAACAATCAAAATAACATTTAGAGAAATTCCCATTACCATTAATCAGAATAGATCCAATTATATGATGTGAATATATCCCCTTGTTTGATCATCATTTCCCTTTTTTGTGATCCCTCTTATCTGTAATTGGCCGACAGATGGAAGAAAATAAATTCTCACGCGTTTACACAAATTTGACATGATTAATCCTTAAAATTAACCATCAACTAACTGATGTGTGTGTGTGTTTTATTTTTGTTTGTTTTAAGATAAGAGAAACAAACAAACATTATAATTTTGAATATGTACCAATGGCAGTATAAGAACAGGCATCATAATGACCACAAAATGAAGATTTGGTTGTAAAACCACTCAACCAAGAGATCCCAAAAGCCAGGAACTGACCTTTTCTAAAGCAAATTCTTTTGATCAATTCAAACCTCAATATAACAATCCCCAATCTCATCCCTCTTTCATATTTTCCCACCA